AGGTGGCAGGGGTGCGCAGGCTGATGTCTGAGGTGGCAGGGGTGCGCAGGCTGATGTCTGAGGTGGCAGGGGTGCGCAGGCTGATGTCTGAGGTGGCAGGGGTGCGCAGGCTGATGTCTGAGGTGGCAGGGGTGCGCAGGCTGATGTCTGAGGTGGCAGGGGTGCGCAGGCTGATGTCTGAGGTGGCAGGGGTGCGCAGGCTGATGTCTGAGGTGGCAGGGGTGCGCAGGCTGATGTCTGAGGTGGCAGGGGTGCGCAGGCTGATGTCTGAGGTGGCAGGGGTGCGCAGGCTGATGTCTGAGGTGGCAGGGGTGCGCAGGCTGATGTCTGAGGTGGCAGGGGTGCGCAGGCTGATGTCTGAGGTGGCAGGGGTGCGCAGGCTGATGTCTGAGGTGGCAGGGGTGCGCAGGCTGATGTCTGAGGTGGCAGGGGTGCGCAGGCTGATGTCTGAGGTGGCAGGGGTGCGCAGGCTGATGTCTGAGGTGGCAGGGGTGCGCAGGCTGATGTCTGAGGTGGCAGGGGTGCGCAGGCTGATGTCTGAGGTGGCAGGGGTGCGCAGGCTGATGTCTGAGGTGGCAGGGGTGCGCAGGCTGATGTCTGAGGTGGCAGGGGTGCGCAGGCTGATGTCTGAGGTGGCAGGGGTGCGCAGGCTGATGTCTGAGGTGGCAGGGGTGCGCAGGCTGATGTCTGAGGTGGCAGGGGTGCGCAGGCTGATGTCTGAGGTGGCAGGGGTGCGCAGGCTGATGTCTGAGGTGGCAGGGGTGCGCAGGCTGATGTCTGAGGTGGCAGGGGTGCGCAGGCTGATGTCTGAGGTGGCAGGGGTGCGCAGGCTGATGTCTGAGGTGGCAGGGGTGCGCAGGCTGATGTCTGAGGTGGCAGGGGTGCGCAGGCTGATGTCTGAGGTGGCAGGGGTGCGCAGGCTGATGTCTGAGGTGGCAGGGGTGCGCAGGCTGATGTCTGAGGTGGCAGGGGTGCGCAGGCTGATGTCTGAGGTGGCAGGGGTGCGCAGGCTGATGTCTGAGGTGGCAGGGGTGCGCAGGCTGATGTCTGAGGTGGCAGGGGTGCGCAGGCTGATGTCTGAGGTGGCAGGGGTGCGCAGGCTGATGTCTGAGGTGGCAGGGGTGCGCAGGCTGATGTCTGAGGTGGCAGGGGTGCGCAGGCTGATGTCTGAGGTGGCAGGGGTGCGCAGGCTGATGTCTGAGGTGGCAGGGGTGCGCAGGCTGATGTCTGAGGTGGCAGGGGTGCGCAGGCTGATGTCTGAGGTGGCAGGGGTGCGCAGGCTGATGTCTGAGGTGGCAGGGGTGCGCAGGCTGATGTCTGAGGTGGCAGGGGTGCGCAGGCTGATGTCTGAGGTGGCAGGGGTGCGCAGGCTGATGTCTGAGGTGGCAGGGGTGCGCAGGCTGATGTCTGAGGTGGCAGGGGTGCGCAGGCTGATGTCTGAGGTGGCAGGGGTGCGCAGGCTGATGTCTGAGGTGGCAGGGGTGCGCAGGCTGATGTCTGAGGTGGCAGGGGTGCGCAGGCTGATGTCTGAGGTGGCAGGGGTGCGCAGGCTGATGTCTGAGGTGGCAGGGGTGCGCAGGCTGATGTCTGAGGTGGCAGGGGTGCGCAGGCTGATGTCTGAGGTGGCAGGGGTGCGCAGGCTGATGTCTGAGGTGGCAGGGGTGCGCAGGCTGATGTCTGAGGTGGCAGGGGTGCGCAGGCTGATGTCTGAGGTGGCAGGGGTGCGCAGGCTGATGTCTGAGGTGGCAGGGGTGCGCAGGCTGATGTCTGAGGTGGCAGGGGTGCGCAGGCTGATGTCTGAGGTGGCAGGGGTGCGCAGGCTGATGTCTGAGGTGGCAGGGGTGCGCAGGCTGATGTCTGAGGTGGCAGGGGTGCGCAGGCTGATGTCTGAGGTGGCAGGGGTGCGCAGGCTGATGTCTGAGGTGGCAGGGGTGCGCAGGCTGATGTCTGAGGTGGCAGGGGTGCGCAGGCTGATGTCTGAGGTGGCAGGGGTGCGCAGGCTGATGTCTGAGGTGGCAGGGGTGCGCAGGCTGATGTCTGAGGTGGCAGGGGTGCGCAGGCTGATGTCTGAGGTGGCAGGGGTGCGCAGGCTGATGTCTGAGGTGGCAGGGGTGCGCAGGCTGATGTCTGAGGTGGCAGGGGTGCGCAGGCTGATGTCTGAGGTGGCAGGGGTGCGCAGGCTGATGTCTGAGGTGGCAGGGGTGCGCAGGCTGATGTCTGAGGTGGCAGGGGTGCGCAGGCTGATGTCTGAGGTGGCAGGGGTGCGCAGGCTGATGTCTGAGGTGGCAGGGGTGCGCAGGCTGATGTCTGAGGTGGCAGGGGTGCGCAGGCTGATGTCTGAGGTGGCAGGGGTGCGCAGGCTGATGTCTGAGGTGGCAGGGGTGCGCAGGCTGATGTCTGAGGTGGCAGGGGTGCGCAGGCTGATGTCTGAGGTGGCAGGGGTGCGCAGGCTGATGTCTGAGGTGGCAGGGGTGCGCAGGCTGATGTCTGAGGTGGCAGGGGTGCGCAGGCTGATGTCTGAGGTGGCAGGGGTGCGCAGGCTGATGTCTGAGGTGGCAGGGGTGCGCAGGCTGATGTCTGAGGTGGCAGGGGTGCGCAGGCTGATGTCTGAGGTGGCAGGGGTGCGCAGGCTGATGTCTGAGGTGGCAGGGGTGCGCAGGCTGATGTCTGAGGTGGCAGGGGTGCGCAGGCTGATGTCTGAGGTGGCAGGGGTGCGCAGGCTGATGTCTGAGGTGGCAGGGGTGCGCAGGCTGATGTCTGAGGTGGCAGGGGTGCGCAGGCTGATGTCTGAGGTGGCAGGGGTGCGCAGGCTGATGTCTGAGGTGGCAGGGGTGCGCAGGCTGATGTCTGAGGTGGCAGGGGTGCGCAGGCTGATGTCTGAGGTGGCAGGGGTGCGCAGGCTGATGTCTGAGGTGGCAGGGGTGCGCAGGCTGATGTCTGAGGTGGCAGGGGTGCGCAGGCTGATGTCTGAGGTGGCAGGGGTGCGCAGGCTGATGTCTGAGGTGGCAGGGGTGCGCAGGCTGATGTCTGAGGTGGCAGGGGTGCGCAGGCTGATGTCTGAGGTGGCAGGGGTGCGCAGGCTGATGTCTGAGGTGGCAGGGGTGCGCAGGCTGATGTCTGAGGTGGCAGGGGTGCGCAGGCTGATGTCTGAGGTGGCAGGGGTGCGCAGGCTGATGTCTGAGGTGGCAGGGGTGCGCAGGCTGATGTCTGAGGTGGCAGGGGTGCGCAGGCTGATGTCTGAGGTGGCAGGGGTGCGCAGGCTGATGTCTGAGGTGGCAGGGGTGCGCAGGCTGATGTCTGAGGTGGCAGGGGTGCGCAGGCTGATGTCTGAGGTGGCAGGGGTGCGCAGGCTGATGTCTGAGGTGGCAGGGGTGCGCAGGCTGATGTCTGAGGTGGCAGGGGTGCGCAGGCTGATGTCTGAGGTGGCAGGGGTGCGCAGGCTGATGTCTGAGGTGGCAGGGGTGCGCAGGCTGATGTCTGAGGTGGCAGGGGTGCGCAGGCTGATGTCTGAGGTGGCAGGGGTGCGCAGGCTGATGTCTGAGGTGGCAGGGGTGCGCAGGCTGATGTCTGAGGTGGCAGGGGTGCGCAGGCTGATGTCTGAGGTGGCAGGGGTGCGCAGGCTGATGTCTGAGGTGGCAGGGGTGCGCAGGCTGATGTCTGAGGTGGCAGGGGTGCGCAGGCTGATGTCTGAGGTGGCAGGGGTGCGCAGGCTGATGTCTGAGGTGGCAGGGGTGCGCAGGCTGATGTCTGAGGTGGCAGGGGTGCGCAGGCTGATGTCTGAGGTGGCAGGGGTGCGCAGGCTGATGTCTGAGGTGGCAGGGGTGCGCAGGCTGATGTCTGAGGTGGCAGGGGTGCGCAGGCTGATGTCTGAGGTGGCAGGGGTGCGCAGGCTGATGTCTGAGGTGGCAGGGGTGCGCAGGCTGATGTCTGAGGTGGCAGGGGTGCGCAGGCTGATGTCTGAGGTGGCAGGGGTGCGCAGGCTGATGTCTGAGGTGGCAGGGGTGCGCAGGCTGATGTCTGAGGTGGCAGGGGTGCGCAGGCTGATGTCTGAGGTGGCAGGGGTGCGCAGGCTGATGTCTGAGGTGGCAGGGGTGCGCAGGCTGATGTCTGAGGTGGCAGGGGTGCGCAGGCTGATGTCTGAGGTGGCAGGGGTGCGCAGGCTGATGTCTGAGGTGGCAGGGGTGCGCAGGCTGATGTCTGAGGTGGCAGGGGTGCGCAGGCTGATGTCTGAGGTGGCAGGGGTGCGCAGGCTGATGTCTGAGGTGGCAGGGGTGCGCAGGCTGATGTCTGAGGTGGCAGGGGTGCGCAGGCTGATGTCTGAGGTGGCAGGGGTGCGCAGGCTGATGTCTGAGGTGGCAGGGGTGCGCAGGCTGATGTCTGAGGTGGCAGGGGTGCGCAGGCTGATGTCTGAGGTGGCAGGGGTGCGCAGGCTGATGTCTGAGGTGGCAGGGGTGCGCAGGCTGATGTCTGAGGTGGCAGGGGTGCGCAGGCTGATGTCTGAGGTGGCAGGGGTGCGCAGGCTGATGTCTGAGGTGGCAGGGGTGCGCAGGCTGATGTCTGAGGTGGCAGGGGTGCGCAGGCTGATGTCTGAGGTGGCAGGGGTGCGCAGGCTGATGTCTGAGGTGGCAGGGGTGCGCAGGCTGATGTCTGAGGTGGCAGGGGTGCGCAGGCTGATGTCTGAGGTGGCAGGGGTGCGCAGGCTGATGTCTGAGGTGGCAGGGGTGCGCAGGCTGATGTCTGAGGTGGCAGGGGTGCGCAGGCTGATGTCTGAGGTGGCAGGGGTGCGCAGGCTGATGTCTGAGGTGGCAGGGGTGCGCAGGCTGATGTCTGAGGTGGCAGGGGTGCGCAGGCTGATGTCTGAGGTGGCAGGGGTGCGCAGGCTGATGTCTGAGGTGGCAGGGGTGCGCAGGCTGATGTCTGAGGTGGCAGGGGTGCGCAGGCTGATGTCTGAGGTGGCTCATAACTCATCTCCCGTGTCTCACCCCCCCACACGTGTGCAGGTGCCCATGATGCCCATAGACTTCTACATGGGGCCACCCGGAGTGGGCAAGGCGGTGAAGTTGCAGGAGGAGCAGATCATGGCGCGTGAGTGAGTGGGGCAGATCATGGCGCGTGAGTGAGTGGGGCAGATCATGGCGCGTGAGTGAGTGGGGCAGATCATGGCGCGTGAGTGAGTGGGGCAGATCATCGCGTGAGTGAGTGGGGCAGATCATGGCGCGTGAGTGAGTGGGGCAGATCATGGCGCGTGAGTGAGTGGGGCAGATCATGGCGCGAGTGAGTGGGGCAGATCATGGCGCGTGAGTGAGTGGGGCAGATCATGGCGCGTGAGTGAGTGGGGCAGATCATGGCGCGTGAGTGAGTGGGGCAGATCATGGCGCGTGAGTGAGTGGGGCAGATCATGGCGCGTGAGTGAGTGGGGCAGATCATGGCGCGTGAGTGAGTGGGGCAGATCATGGCGCGTGAGTGAGTGGGGCAGATCATGGCGCGTGAGTGAGTGGGGCAGATCATGGCGCGAGTGAGTGGGGCAGATCATGGCGCGTGAGTGAGTGGGGCAGATCATGGCGCGTGAGTGAGTGGGGCAGATCATGGCGCGTGAGTGAGTGGGGCAGATCATGGCGCGTGAGTGAGTGGGGCAGATCATGGCGCGTGAGTGAGTGGGGCAGATCATGGCGCGTGAGTGAGTGGGGCAGATCATGGCGCGTGAGTGAGTGGGGCAGATCATGGCGCGTGAGTGAGTGGGCAGATCAGGGGCAGATCATGGCGCGTGAGTGAGTGGGGCAGATCATGGCGCGTGAGTGAGTGGGGCAGATCATGGCGCGTGAGTGAGTGGGGCAGATCATGGCGCGTGAGTGAGTGGGGCAGATCATGGCGCGTGAGTGAGTGGGGCAGATCATGGCGCGTGAGTGAGTGGGGCAGATCATGGCGCGTGAGTGAGTGGGGCAGATCATGGCGCGTGAGTGAGTGGGGCAGATCATGGCGCGTGAGTGAGAGGGGCAGATCATGGCGCGTGAGTGAGAGGGGCAGATCATGGCGCGTGAGTGAGTGGGGCAGATCATGGCGCGTGAGTGAGTGGGGCAGATCATGGCGCGTGAGTGAGTGGGGCAGATCATGGCGCGTGAGTGAGTGGGGCAGATCATGGCGCGTGAGTGAGTGGGGCAGATCATGGCGCGTGAGTGAGTGGGGCAGATCATGGCGCGTGAGTGAGTGGGGCAGATCATGGCGCGTGAGTGAGTGGGGCAGATCATGGCGCGTGAGTGAGTGGGGCAGATCATGGCGCGTGAGTGAGTGGGGCAGATCATGGCGCGTGAGTGAGTGGGGCAGATCATGGCGCGCGAGTGAGTGGGGCAGATCATGGCGCGTGAGTGAGTGGGGCAGATCATGGCGCGTGAGTGAGTGGGGCAGATCATGGCGCGTGAGTGAGTGGGGCAGATCATCGCGCGCGAGTGAGTGGGGCAGATCATGGCGCGCGAGTGAGTGGGGCAGATCATGGCGCGTGAGTGAGTGGGGCAGATCATGGCGCGTGAGTGAGTGGGGCAGATCATGGCGCGTGAGTGAGTGGGGCAGATCATGGCGCGAGTGAGTGGGGCAGATCATGGCGCGTGAGTGAGTGGGGCAGATCATGGCGCGTGAGTGAGTGGGGCAGATCATGGCGCGTGAGTGAGTGGGGCAGATCATGGCGCGTGAGTGAGTGGGGCAGATCATGGCGCGTGAGTGAGAGGGGCAGATCATGGCGCGTGAGTGAGAGGGGCAGATCATGGCGCGTGAGTGAGTGGGGCAGATCATGGCGCGTGAGTGAGTGGGGCAGATCATGGCGCGTGAGTGAGTGGGGCAGATCATGGCGCGTGAGTGAGAGGGGCAGATCATGGCGCGTGAGTGAGTGGGGCAGATCATGGCGCGTGAGTGAGTGGGGCAGATCATGGCGCGTGAGTGAGTGGGGCAGATCATGGCGCGTGAGTGAGTGGGGCAGATCATGGCGCGCGAGTGAGTGGGGCAGATCATGGCGCGTGAGTGAGTGGGGCAGATCATGGCGCGTGAGTGAGTGGGGCAGATCATGGCGCGTGAGTGAGTGGGGCAGATCATGGCGCGTGAGTGAGTGGGGCAGATCATGGCGCGTGAGTGAGTGGGGCAGATCATGGCGCGTGAGTGAGTGGGGCAGATCATGGCGCGTGAGTGAGTGGGGCAGATCATGGCGCGTGAGTGAGTGGGGCAGATCATGGCGCGGAGTGAGTGGGGCAGATCATGGCGCGTGAGTGAGTGGGGCAGATCATGGCGCGTGAGTGAGTGGGGCAGATCATGGCGCGTGAGTGAGTGGGGCAGATCATGGCGCGTGAGTGAGTGGGGCAGATCATGGCGCGTGAGTGAGTGGGGCAGATCATGGCGCGTGAGTGAGTGGGGCAGATCATGGCGCGTGAGTGAGTGGGGCAGATCATGGCGCGTGAGTGAGTGGGGCAGATCATGGCGCGAGTGAGTGGGGCAGATCATGGCGCGTGAGTGAGTGGGGCAGATCATGGCGCGTGAGTGAGTGGGGCAGATCATGGCGCGTGAGTGAGTGGGGCAGATCATGGCGCGTGAGTGAGTGGGGCAGATCATGGCGCGTGAGTGAGTGGGGCAGATCATGGCGCGTGAGTGAGTGGGGCAGATCATGGCGCGTGAGTGAGTGGGGCAGATCATGACGCGTGAGTGAGTGGGGCAGATCATGGCGCGAGTGAGTGGGGCAGATCATGGCGCGTGAGTGAGTGGGGCAGATCATGGCGCGTGAGTGAGTGGGGCAGATCATGGCGCGTGAGTGAGTGGGGCAGATCATGGCGCGTGAGTGAGTGGGGCAGATCATGGCGCGTGAGTGAGTGGGGCAGATCATGGCGCGTGAGTGAGTGGGGCAGATCATGGCGCGTGAGTGAGTGGGGCAGATCATGGCGCGTGAGTGAGTGGGGCAGATCATGGCGCGTGAGTGAGTGGGGCAGATCATGGCGCGTGAGTGAGTGGGGCAGATCATGGCGCGTGAGTGAGTGGGGCAGATCATGGCGCGTGAGTGAGAGGGGCAGATCATGGCGCGTGAGTGAGAGGGGCAGATCATGGCGCGTGAGTGAGTGGGGCAGATCTTGGCGCGTGAGTGAGTGGGGCAGATCATGGCGCGTGAGTGAGTGGGGCAGATCATGGCGCGTGAGTGAGTGGGGCAGATCATGGCGCGTGAGTGAGTGGGGCAGATCATGGCGCGTGAGTGAGTGGGGCAGATCATGGCGCGTGAGTGAGTGGGGCAGATCATGGCGCGTGAGTGAGTGGGGCAGATCATGGCGCGTGAGTGAGTGGGGCAGATCATGGCGCGTGAGTGAGTGGGGCAGATCATGGCGCGTGAGTGAGTGGGGCAGATCATGGCGCGTGAGTGAGTGGGGCAGATCATGGCGCGTGAGTGAGTGGGGCAGATCATGGCGCGTGAGTGAGTGGGGCAGATCATGGCGCGTGAGTGAGTGGGGCAGATCATGGCGCGTGAGTGAGTGGGGCAGATCATGGCGCGTGAGTGAGTGGGGCAGATCATGGCGCGTGAGTGAGTGGGGCAGATCATGGCGCGAGTGAGTGGGGCAGATCATGGCGCGTGAGTGAGTGGGGCAGATCATGGCGCGTGAGTGAGTGGGGCAGATCATGGCGCGTGAGTGAGTGGGGCAGATCATGGTGCGTGAGTGAGTGGGGCAGATCATGGCGCGTGAGTGAGTGGGGCAGATCATGGCGCGTGAGTGAGTGGGGCAGATCATGGCGCGTGAGTGAGTGGGGCAGATCATGGCGCGTGAGTGAGTGGGGCAGATCATGGCGCGTGAGTGAGTGGGGCAGATCATGGCGCGAGTGAGTGGGGCAGATCATGGCGCGTGAGTGAGTGGGGCAGATCATGGCGCGTGAGTGAGTGGGGCAGATCATGGCGCGTGAGTGAGTGGGGCAGATCATGGCGCGTGAGTGAGTGGGGCAGATCATGGCGCGAGTGAGTGGGGCAGATCATGGCGCGTGAGTGAGTGGGGCAGATCATGGCGCGTGAGTGAGTGGGGCAGATCATGGCGCGTGAGTGAGTGGGGCAGATCATGGCGCGTGAGTGAGTGGGGCAGATCATGGCGCGTGAGTGAGTGGGGCAGATCATGGCGCGTGAGTGAGTGGGGCAGATCATGGCGCGTGAGTGAGTGGGGCAGATCATGGCGCGCGAGTGAGTGGGGCAGATCATGGCGCGCGAGTGAGTGGGGCAGATCATGGCGCGCGAGTGAGTGGGGCAGATCATGGCGCGTGAGTGAGTGGGGCAGATCATGGCGCGTGAGTGAGTGGGGCAGATCATGGCGCGTGAGTGAGTGGGGCAGATCATGGCGCGCGAGTGAGTGGGGCAGATCATGGCGCGCGAGTGAGTGGGGCAGATCATGGCGCGCGAGTGAGTGGGGCAGATCATGGCACGCGAGTGAGTGGGGCAGATCATGGCGCGTGAGTGAGTGGGGCAGATCATGGCGCGTGAGTGAGTGGGGCAGATCATGGCGCGTGAGTGAGTGGGGCAGATCATGGCGCGTGAGTGAGTGGGGCAGATCATGGCGCGTGAGTGAGTGGGGCAGATCATGGCGCGTGAGTGAGTGGGGCAGATCATGGCGCGTGAGTGAGTGGGGCAGATCATGGCGCGTGAGTGAGTGGGGCAGATCATGGCGCGCGAGTGAGTGGGGCAGATCATGGCGCGCGAGTGAGTGGGGCAGATCATGGCGCGCGAGTGAGTGGGGCAGATCATGGCGCGCGAGTGAGTGGGGCAGATCATGGCGCGTGAGCGAGTGGGGCAGATCATGGCGCGTGAGTGAGTGGGGCAGATCGTGGCGCGCGAGTGAGTGGGGCAGATCATGGCGCGCGAGTGAGTGGGGCAGATCATGGCGCGTGAGTGAGTGGGGCAGATCATGGCGCGTGAGTGAGTGGGGCAGATCATGGCGCGAGTGAGTGGGGCAGATCATGGCGCGTGAGTGAGTGGGGCAGATCATGGCGCGTGAGTGAGTGGGGCAGATCATGGCGCGTGAGTGAGTGGGGCAGATCATGGCGCGTGAGTGAGTGGGGCAGATCATGGCGCGAGTGAGTGGGGCAGA